AGCCAAAATGCATCCTGACAAGTGGTGAACAACCCACTCGAGGTTCGACTGACTAGTCGACTCCAACTTGAAGTCGACTCATCGCTGATCACTGGTTTTGGGCACGTTGTTTTACTGTTAGTCAATTTTTGTTGTTTCGATGACAATTTGTCAAATTACATCTTTACGTGACACTGGTTCATGGTGCTACAGAGGTTAAGGGTCACTGACACCATTGATTAATCAACTATGACTTTCGTCACATTAGTGGCATCGGTTAAAAATAATAATAATAATAATAAAAATAAAATCTGCAGTTGTGCAGCCCTGAATGGTCACTAGAAAAACATTAATGCTCTGCACAATACAGAAAAAGAAACACATCAGAAACCGGATACACATACAGTATAATGCAGCCTAGTCGACTCGAGCTTGAAGTCGACTAGTCACTAATCACTTGTTTTTATCATCTTGTCTTTCTATTCAACAATTTTGGTTGTTTCTATGACGATACATCAAAATCTGTCCGTACGTGACACCAGTTCATAGTGCTATAAGGGTTTGGGGGTCACAGATGCCATTGACCAATCGACTTCGACTTGGCTTTCATCACATCAGTGGCGACGGTTAAAAAAAAAAAAATCATCAGCTGTGCAACAGTTAATGGTCACTGGAAAAACATTGATGCTTTGCATGATACAGAAAACGAAGCACGTTATAACACGGTTCCACGCATAGTGCAGCCTAGTCGACTCGAGCTTGAAGTTGACTAGTCACTAATCACTTTTTTTTCTCTTCCGATTAGTCATTTTTTGTTGCTTGAATGCCAATCTGTCAAAATGTGCGTCGACGTGCCAGCGGGCCGTGGCGTTCGAAAGGTTGAGGGTCACTGACACCATTGACTTCGATTCTTCGACTTGGCTTTCATCACATCGGTGCCGACGGCAAAAAAAAAATCATTTGTCTTATCATTTGTCTAATCATAATCTTAATGCTCAGTAAAAAAAGTTTGGGGTGTTTTGTATTCCAGTTTGAAAAACACATTTATCTTAACCTGATATCATGTCAGTATCCATTTATTTGTTCAATAGTTGTTACGGGAAATCCACCAGCTGACATTGATCCAGTATGTTGTAATTCTGCAACAACAATGATGTAATTAGAGGCGCCTGAGTCGTCTTCCAAAACATCCTTGGCATCAATGCGACAGACAAATTAGAGTAGCTGCACTTCCTAGTGGTGGAAGTTTGTCAGATGTCGCACGTTTTCCTTTCTCAAGTTCTCTTATAAACACGCGAGCCATGGCCTGTATTCGTCACTTCTCTGGAGTGGTTATTGACAAAGTATGACGCTGAGGTCCAACTCCTGTTTACACATCATGACAAAATTCCGATTACCATGGTTGGCCCGCAGCACAAAACAACAAACACAACACAGCTTGATGAACCGCGTCCACACTTAATGTCCAAGCGGAAGGCAATCATGACACTGATTGACTTGCATCCTTGTTATGACCAATTCAAAACAGCCCTGTGCCACAAAATAACAACAAAAATGTACTTTTTACTTATTATTTTTATAAATTACTGCTAATATGTCAACTGTGAATGCATCATCTCAGTCACGTTTACACAGCAGGAAGTAAAGCCTAACAGCTAAGTAGCACCTCAGATTGATTTCATTCTTTCTTGAGAGTTGAATGAGTTTAACCAACAGGCCATTTTACAGTGTACTATCCGGATTACACCATTTAATGCTCAGTTTAATTTTTCATCCAGAAAGACTTTCAGAAATCGGACAGTGCCATGAGGGGTGCCCATTTGGTGGTGGCAGATCTCCTCTCCAAACAGGACATACGTAGATGCAGTAGAATGGATAAAAACACATGATTGTCTTATTTAACAGTATTAACTCGCCTCTTAATTTGTGTTATAACATAAAAGTATACTTATCATGTTATCATCTTTCAGGAAGCAATGCGGCAGGCGGTCCATGAATCAGTTCCTCATGCATGAACCCATGCCTGGTGATGAACTCAGATGCAGAAGGGCCTCCACACTGGCCTCAAGGTACACTGCTTCTCCCTACTGGAAGTATTGAGAACTGCCAGGAGAACCGAAAGGTACCTGCACAAGAGAAGATTGGCAGTTCTGTAAACAAATGTGTTTTTTAAATTTTAATTCCAAAGTCATTGCAGTTGGAGGATTGTGGTTGTACATTTTTGGTAACATTTGGTAAAAAGATTATGTTTTTAAGATCGAATATAAACTGAAGCATAATAGCCAATAATTATTAGTTTTCAAACAACCCGTTACATTTTAAACAAAGACTACACACTCGTCTAACTTTTAAGTAAATATATCGACAAATTGTTGACAGACTCCAAATAAACAACTTGCAGTATATGTCAAAAATCTTTTTACCTTTTTCGTTATCTCCAAATTTGTAAGTCTCAATGTAACAGTCCATCTGAAAAAAAGATTCAAACATGTAGTAAACTTTAAAAAAATGTGAATTTTTGTTCTATTTGTACGTCATTGGTAGGAACTAATATCCGCCGCAACTTCGCGGCAATCACACGAAAGAATAATGTAGTTACACCAAAACAGGAAGTCGATGTCAAGCGAGTCATCCTCTCCTTAGAGACTGGAGCAAATTAAACAGAACAGGACTTTTAAACATGGACCAAAGCGATCTCGATTCGGCAGGCGAGATGGTGATAGATTGGGGTGGAAGCGCCACTGGAAATGTAAATGCTATGACGAAGGTGTCAACTCTTTTGACGAACGTCCATACTGGTCTGCCGCCCCCTGTTGCAGATCCTCTGCAAACGAGCCTCGCCGAAGGGGACTACCACTACTACTATTACGGCTGCGATGGACAAGATGACAGAGGCTGGGGGTGTGGATACCGCACCATCCAGACTATGGCTTCCTGGCTGGGATATAATGTGAAACCTCGAATCGAAAACAAACCTCCACCTAGCATTCCAGAGATCCAACAAGCCTTAGTGTCCATGATGGACAAACCGAGCTCATTTCTGGGTTCTAAGGAGTGGATTGGGACATTTGAAGCCTCTCTGGTGCTTTCTTATTTTTATGATGTTCCCTGTAGGTTGGTGCATGTCAGAAGTGGAGGAGAGCTCGAGCAGATCGCCATAGAAGAGCTCCATCAGCACTTTGGCAAACGCGGATGTCCTGTCATGATGGGCGGGGACAGGGACAACTCTTCAAAAGGGGTCTTGGGGGTGTGCACCGGGGGCGCTGGGAGCTACCTGCTGATCGTGGACCCCCACTACTATGGAGGTCAGCTGGAGAGGGGAGAGGCACAAAGGCGAGGCTGGGCAGCGTGGAAAAGATTGGCGTCTTTCAATCAGTCTTCTTTTTATAATCTGTGTTTACCTCAGACTGGCAGAAAACCCACCTGAACTCGTAAAATGAACATTGTGTGGGGCTCGTGATGAATGAAGTAAACGTATGTTATGAAAGTTTTGTTCAGCTCATTTGTTTCTTTCAAACTTAGGGTACTAAAAAATCCAAAGTTGACATTGAGAAAGGTGTCACAATCTAAATAGAATTCCAAGATAAACGCAACAGTTGTTTTTCAAACAACTGTTGTTTTTACTTAATTCAGTTATCGAATGTCGGTGCAAAATAGCTTTTTACAAAGCATACAGTTAAATTAGTTGCTACAGGACGAACTTTTTTAAGTAAAGGTTTGTAAATCTAGTAGCAAAAGTGCTGAATGGGCCTCTTGGTTTTTTTTCACGGCAGATTTCGCAATATATTCTGCATGTTGTACAGTAGTTGCCTATATGTGCGATCTCTGAAGCAGAAGTCATTGACTCATTGTACTGAACTTCATTCCGTGGTTGTTCAACAGTCCCCTCTGTTGAACAAAAACCTCTACTACTGAACTAGGATGAGCTGAAGTTTCATGGTTCAGTATTAAAGTTTCACGCTTTAACATGCCATGTTATCAAGTTCAAACATGACAAGTTTGAGTTTCACTTCCGCGTATGGCCAAACCAAAGCGATTATTTCCGTTTCAGGTCATTGGCGGTGTCCTTTTTGTGAATAATATGGATTTAAGACATTTTGATGCCAATTAAAGTTTTAATTTTAGATTTATTGACTCAATGCCTTTTAAGGATCGACAGGGAGCCTGAATTGTGCTGCATTCGGGGAAGGTTGGAAGTTGACCTTTGCGACCTCCGACAAGTGAAGTGCACTCGAACGCCCCTCTGAACTGGGAGGTCCGAGTTCCGGAGTTGGAAAAAAAGGATACCAACTTCACCCACCAGCCTCCATCCGATGTCACTTGACAATGGCGCACCGTCATTGAGACACAGACCGTGAATAGCAAAACATAATTTGTACGATTCTAAACATTCGTATTGCTTTATTTATCCATCCATTATCCGAGCTGCTTAATTTATTACATTGAGTTAACTCCACGTAACACAAGATGCCGTCATCTCCCTGCATGAAGTTATTTGGAGGCATGTAAGGAAATCATGAAGAGGATTTACTGGAGGTCAGAATGCGCTGTGATGAAACAGAACAATTTGTCGGAATCAGCCATCTTTGTTATTTAAATTCACCTCGAACGCTTTGAGTTCGAAACTGGGACAATCCGATTGGGATAAATAACCCCGACTTCCTACCTTCCGCGAATGCAGCATAAATGCTTATAATAGGAACGTCGCCCCTACTAATATGGCAGCTACTTGGGCACGTCCGTTAGCCGCGCTTGTGTAACGAGTCTGTATATCTGTGATTAAAACGTGAAATTAATCCCTTCTAACGTGACATTGAACTTTTTGTCTGGTGCGGCTGCGAAAGACTTGTACAGAGCCAGCATTTTGACTTATAATAGTCTTTTTTTACGCAAGCATTTGAGTACAGACTCGAGTTTGGAGTACTTTCGCCAGCTCTGGTTGGCTCGCCGCTTGTAGTGTGCAGTCACGTGGTACCACACGGACGGCCATGTTTCAGAAACACAAACAAGACTAGCAGGCAACACACATACACGCACGCACACACACACACTGATGCGACCGTTGGAGGAAGGCAAGGAAGAACAAAAATACGACATCGGCCACGGAGCACGGCTTCCCGGGAGTACCATCGTGTCGAACGAACGCGTTGACGAGTGTTCGGATAGCGACGCGTGCATTAAATCGGCTGTAGGCGACGCAGCCTGGCTGGTGCTTGCGATTGGAAACAAGTGAAGGTAAGCTAAGCCGCGCTTGCAAAGCTCCTGGTTCCTCATCGCGACCTAGCTGCCTCGCGTTAGCAGCCGTGCTAACATGGCGTCGCCGCGGTTGACTTTTGGGACTCCTCGCGCTTTTGCTCGCTCTCTTTCGCTCGCTGTCTTTTACTCTCTCTCTTTTTCTGCTTTCTCGCCCTCGTCGTGGACTTTAAAAGCGAGCGCTGGCCGTTGGCAAGCAGGCCCGCAGGAGCCCCACACTCCGCCCCCCTTTCCGCCATCATAGCTGCTTGTGTCATTTGAACCTCGGAGGCCTCGGCCATCGACACCGAATTTCGACGCTACTAGCTGCGGACACCGCACACTTTGGATCAGGGTTCGACAACCGCCCTCGATCTGTGCCATTTATTCTTTCAAGCAACACCCCGCACGTTACTAGTTTCACACCACCAAACAATGTGGATTGCGTGAGTCAGCGCGACGTCTTTGCTGTTTATTTTGCCACCAGTTCACATTGAAGGTGCACCAGGGAGTGAAATCGGGTTTTATAAACGCCGCGTTTTGAAGTCAAAGTGCTTTGCAGAGCAAACACGATCAAATACAAATGTGATCGAAAAGACGGCGAGCTTGGAGAACTACCCGAAATCTTTGAAATAGCTTGGAGCTTTGCAGTAGTGGAAACTAAGTGCTGGCAAAGTCACTGCATCAATTAATGTAATTCATTATCTAATTACTCAACATCAAATTTGATCATCCTTTTGAGAATGTATAATTGGCCCAAATACTCGCCATTTATTTTCTAATCCCTGCCGTCCTCAGTAAAAGCACTATTTTAAACATCTGCCCCCCCCCCAAAAAAATGCCCAAATCGTATTTTTGAGAAAATTTGTTCATGCTCTCTGCTCTTTATTATTATTTTTTAAACAACACCTAGCTACCGTTTTTTAAACAACCCTTAGGTACCGGTAAAAACGTCTAAACCAGAGTGAAAGTGGCTTATTGTGTACTGATTGTCCAACCAAATTGACATTCATCCAAAATAACGTATTTGCTCAAATTACCTTTTAATAATATTAGTATGTGTTATGATTAAGACTTGATCTTTCAGACTCTGATCATGTTTACCTTTTTAAGCAATAATTGCTACAACATGTCTAGAAAGTCACAATGTCCTAATCACTTTAGAGCTATTTTTGGAACAGCGCCAAGGGGGCTGATCATGTGGTCCTCATGGGCACCACCTTGGTGACCCCTGATGTAAACAATCACAGTGAACATTTCCTTTTTTTTTAAATTATGCCACGTTATATACCCGCTTCAGTGTTTTTTTTAATCTTTTATTTTTTAAAGAATATTATTCACGGGTTTTTACAGTAGGTCCCCACTGCACTCTCTTGTAATGTCACTATCCACTTAAAGTTTGATGAACAGACATATTTCAATTTAGAATCAATTTGATATTTTTCACAAACTGATAGTCAGTCTTTGGGTTATTCATTCTTTCCAATTATTATCCAATCCAAAGTGTAGCTTGGGAACTTTCCCCATACAGTGTTTAATAAATACAGAAAATGCATTTGGAGAGACTCCAATCACATTATACAACCACAATAATAAATCACTTCAAGGGGGCATAGTCCTGTGAGGTGTGTTCTCACTGTCAACAAAGATAATAAAACAGGACTGCTCCGCAATTAAGAAAAATTCTCTTGTCTCGTACAATTGTGTAACCACGCCACATGATGGCTGATTTAAAGAAGTGGTGTGCAAAAATGTGTCAAGAATTGAAGAAAATGGAGCCGACTGGATGTTTGTTTTGTTACTGTGACGTTGTTTTTAAGGGAAGTCGCTGCGCCCCAGCGGATTTCTCTCAACATTGAAAGAGAAGTCTGAGGTTTCAGATTTTTGGCGCTTGCCTGGAAATAGTTTGCTGTCCCATTTTTTGATTTTTTTTTTTTTTTAAAGGAAATGTTCGTGTGTATTTTCCCCCAAACCGTCCGTGTGATGTGATGGATTAACTGCTGCCTTCCACTTCGCTGTTTTAAAAATTGGACATCGCTGCTGTATATTTAAAAAAAAAAAAAAATATATATATATATATATATATATATATGTGTGTGTGTGTGTGTGTGTGTACCGGTATGTATGTATGTGATGCATCAGGGTGTGTTCATCAGTTATTTGTTTTCTTTGATGTCTATTCCAGTGGCGGAGAGGAAAGGAGGACAGGAAGTCAAGGCGTTACCTGGACGGTCGTCTCCGCCAATCCACATTTTAGTCGGAGCGAGCGAGAAAGGCGCCAAGAAAAGGGAAAGGAAAGGAGGGCGAGCACGGAGAAGAGGAGTGCGGGTCGCGTCTGCTCTCGGCAGCTGTTCCGGCAGCCTTTTTTTTCTTTTTTTTTTTCTTTTTTTTTGAGGCGCCTGTGACTTTTTTAATTTTTTTTTTTTTTTGATGAAGTGGTTCAGGTTCTGAGTTTAAATGTGAGATCTAACTGCTGTAAAAACAAAACAAAAACGATTGAGCGAGCGCAAGGGAGCAAGTGAGAGATACTTGCAATTCCTCTTTTTTGTTCCATTGATAATTTCCAAAGTTCCTTTTTCTTTCAATGTTTTGCAACCTTCATGGTCTGTGAGTAGCAGGAGCTTCCATTCTCCAATCTGTCGTCAAAGCCCTCCCGAAGCGAGCACGGACTGATAACCTGGTACCCCTCAAGCACCTACAACTGGCAGCTATTCTTGTGGATGTGTATTTTTTGAGGTGTGTTGGGGGGGGGGCGCCCTGTGACCACAGCTTAAGCACCACTCAGCCTTCTAGTCACCCAAGCCTAACTAAACCCAGCCAGCTCCAGCCTGGTCCAGCCTGCTCCCACATCTCTGGACGGGGTACGCCCGCTTCTACACGCGGCTTAAAAATATGTCAACAATAACGACGTATGACGCTAAAGAATGCGTTTGCTTCCCAGGTACTCACATCTGTGTGGACGTGAGGAATATGACTGCTGAGACTCTCAACTTCGGCCCAGAATGGTGAGCGACAGCGCAGTTTTGACACCGTTGCACACCACAACCACCCAAAAAAAAAAAAAGTTTCTCCATACAAAAGGAGTGTGAGCATTCTACGTGCCAAACAATATGGCTTCAGAGTTGAGTTGCACGCTATTTGGGAGAACATGCCAGGTGCGATGTGGGTGTTGAATAGTGCGAGGGCAAGATTATTGCGATATTTAACATGTACCTAAAGAGGATGCCATTGAATGAAAGAAAGAGACATTTTTTTCAGGCGCCAAAATCAGCAGTTTTAATGTATTCTTATCTCACTATTTGTAATGACATGTAATTTTGTGTTTGTGTGTGTGTGTGTGTGTACCAATTTTTATTTATTCATTTATGTATATACTGTATATATTCACACACACGTATGTCTCTGTCTCTTGCTCTCTTTCATATACATATATATCTCAATATGTATATTTTTTGTAGTCGCACACCTTTGCGATACATATATTGCACACACTGTTATTGCAATGACCCCCCCAGCCCCGCCACTCCCAATCTATTGTGCAGCCTTGTTTAAGAGTATTGTTACTGAGTCTTTCGTGGTTCCAGTGGCTCCTTTTATTAATCCCAAAGACAATTCAAGTTGAATCAGTGATTGATTTCAAGTCGCCACGGAGACATCGTCCCTTCCATTTCCACCTTGCCGGTGGGTGTTTGTGCGGCGATGAATGGGAGGGAGGTGTCGCCTGCCGTTTGGTCACACTCCATTACTAACTAGTTGTGAACGTTCCCCGGTACGCGGCCAGACGGGGAGAATATTTCTCTCTTTCGCCTCGGCACATCTGCAGCCGCTTGCTTGCATCTGACTCTGGTCCTTATTTTGCTATTCTTAAGAAGAAGAAAAAAAAGGGGGGGGGGTGCAGAGGGCGTCATGATTTGAATAAATTGGTAAGAAAAATTAGTTACTTCAGTTTGCCCTATGCGCACAAATGGATGCTTTAATAAATCCAGTGAGGGGATTGGAAGTTTTCACCTAATTGGCTTTGCGCTCTCTCGCTTTTCTCTGACTCGGCCGTGCTGCCGCTAACACCCGACACCCACCTCCTCTCAGAGGTACATATGGTTTAGATGTGGGCCTGTGAGTCAATAACGCTCCTCTGAGAGGCAAGTGAATGGAGCCATTGTTCAGCTGCCGGCTTTGGAAGCTGCTCCTTCTTGTAACAGCTTTTTTTTTTTTTTCTTTCCAGCTCAAATTGGAAAGCTAATATATTACGAAGCAGAGTGCATTCATTCAGTGTGGGGGCGACAGTTGACTTGCTACGGAATGCAAAGTCAGCAAGGTTTCTTGTTAAGTGTGTTTTGCAAATTCAGATGACAATTTAACAGTTACACAATCGCTCTTTTCCTGCCTCCTATTTAATCTGGCATTGTTTATTGTAGCACAGATTGCTTGTGTTTGTTAAAAAAACAAATACATTGGATGAGGACCTCGGGAAAAACATGACGGTCCATTAAATCGCAATTGCAATATTGAGGAAAACCCATCGGGTTGAGCTTTCAGTCTGATTTGCTCTCATTCTCTCGTCTCGCTCGAATGACAAATTGATGCTCAACGTTTTCTCCGTGCCCGTCCGTCCCAACCCCAGGCTCCGTGCACTGTCCAGTGGGGGGAGTGTGACGTCCCCCCCTCCCTCCCCCCCCATGCCAAAGTACAAGCTGGCCGACTACCGCTACGGCCGAGAGGAGATGTTAGCACTTTATATCAAAGACAACAAGGTAGGTGGCGCCATTCCTCGCTCCCGCGTGGCGTAGTTCAATGTGCTCGCCATCTTTCGAGTACCGTAGTTGTTTTCCCGCCGGTTGGCCGATGACGCCGTGTTCTCTGAAGGCTCCGCTGTTGTTTTATCTTAGGTCCCGGAGGACATGCAGGATAAGGAATTTGCTGCTATTCTGCAAGATGAGCCCATGCAGCCGCTGGCACTGGTGCCTCTCACTGAGGAGGAGCAGGTCAGCCTCGCAACACAAACCGCAGTGACAACGTCAAGGTGAGCCTCTCCATTGGCTGACATTCCTCACATTCTTTCCCCCCCGCCCCCCTGCTCTTTCCCCCCCACTCGCAGAGGAACTTCTCCATGTCTGTGAATAGTGTGGCTGTTCTGCGGCTCATGGGAAAGGGGGCGAGTGGAGCTGCCCCGGCCGGAGCGGTGCGAGGACGGGGCGCCGCAAGAGGCAGCAGAGGTACGATTGCTCCTTTGGGGAAAAACGAGGATGAGACTTCAAATGTGGCACGGCCAAAATAAAGAAATGTGCTCCGGCTGTAACTCCAGTGGTGGCATGGGCAGCTCTTTCGGGAAATGCTCAAGTGTTGATTTCCACCATCTTGGTGGAGCTCACTTCCTATTGAGCCGGCTTTGTGCAGCCACACATGCTTGAGTACGCGTCTGTGTGTTTGTGCGCGAACAGGCCGGGCCCGCGGCGAAGGTGGATTCTACCAAAGAAGTATTGAAGATGCCGAGGTTGGTTTTGGTCGGAGCTCCAGAGAGATGCACCGTAGCCAGAGTTGGGATGACCGGTAAGGAAGTCGGCACAGATTGGAATTCTCCCGTGAATAAGCCGCGTACCCGAGTAAAATACGCTCCTCCAAACCGGCCTTAAAAAGTTTTTTTTTTCCTCTCTCTCTGAATTCACATATGAACCTATATATGGTCCGTCGATTTGCTGGCATCCTTTATTACACTGCAGTTATTTTCTGAGTGCCAAAGATATTTTCATGGTTTCTGGTTTCTTCGAATTGGCTCTCATTTTAGAAAGACAGACATCTTTGGCGATTGTCATTTGAGGATTTTTAAAAAAAATGCTCGCCGTTTATTCTCCAGTAAAAGTGAAACAAGCTTGTTGTTTCCTGCGAACATTGCCAAATGTTCAAAATTCATGCTTGATTTTTCACTTGAAACATGGCTTGCATGTCTTTCACGATATTGCATAAAAAAAAACCAAAAGAATACTGTTTGGGCATGCGTGAAAAGAACCAATGTCAAAATCTGTCTATTTTTAGCCCATTTGTGAAGCCATAATGTGGAGTGTCTCAAAAACTTGAGCCAATTCAGAAGAATCAATGTCATTGTCAGAGTCACTGACATCAAATTACCCCAAAACCGCCGAAACTTTCTTGGCGCTCAAGCTGCTCGAAGCCGCTCATGCTGGCAACAGTCAGCTTGTTTTTTAGCGCCCTGAATTAACGATTGAATGTGACCTCAAGTTGTTGGCAACCGTTGGCAATGTAAACTAGCTTCCAGCTATGGAGCCTCGCCAGGCCCTCAAACATCCATAAAATGTGATTTGGCAGGGGGGAATATTTTTTTTTTTTCAAAAATGTGAGTGTTATCCACAGGAAATTACGGTTCTCTTTTCCCTTCCTTGTCTTACCACAACTTTAAGGAGATTGAATTCCGAGAACGTCCCCTTCGTAACCTGATCATTTCTTTGCTCCGCCCCCCAATTGTTAAATTGCAATTTTCAGAGGTGAGCGTCGATTTGAGAAGCCGCTTCGACGGGAGGTGGGCCGCCCTGGCTTTGAGGAGTCTGCAGGTCCCGGGGGTTCCGGCAGGAAGGAGTACACAAGGGCTGACAGCGATAACTGGCGCACCCTCCGGGAAGAGCAGGAGGGGGAGGAGGGCGAGCCGGCAAGCAGTTGGAGAGTTGCTGGACCCCGCAGGGACGGTATGATCAACACAAACACTTTCTATATTGAGTTGTACTCCTGTTATTTTTTTCTTTTCCCCTCCCCCTTTTGTTCAATGAATGTCTGATGTACGGCTTTATGAGACTCAAGCTAGATGTAGCGCTCACCCGTGGGTTCTCTTGTCAGATGGCGGTCCCCGCTCAGCAGGCTGGCGGGATCACGGCTGTCCAGGTGACAGTCGCCGCCGCAAATTCGATTTTGACTTCGGGGGTCCCGAGAACCTGGGCGGTAGTCGCCGGCGCGCCGGCAGCGACGGTCCGGAGGACGACAGGGACGGCCTGCCTGAGTGGTGTATGGATGAGGAGGATGGAGGAATGGGAACTTTTGACTCCTCTGGCGCGTTCATGCCCATGAAGGTGAGTTTCGATGGGCCGTGTGCAATTCAAGACATTTTCAAAAGGCCAGTACGAGTTTGTTTTGGTCTTGATCTCTGCGAGCATACCTTATTCAAGTTCCCCATTTCTTCTGGTGGACGTTTGTCAGAAGGGTGGCAAGGAGACAATCCTGGAGGAAGAGTTGGAGTTCAAGGGCACTGAGGAGGAAGAGGAAGAGGAGAGTCCTCCCGACACGGAGAGAAACGGCGGTGATGGAGACAAAGATAAGGGTCAGTCGATTCCTCCTGGTGGTCTGCGGCACAGATTACCTGCACCTTGTTGCTTGTAGTTTATTCAGTGCAGCTGCAGCCGGGATGTGGTTGCCTGCACACTGCGTCTGGGCTGTCATGTTACCCGCCCCACCTTCACATATGTTCATATTCTGCGTATCGTGTACTAATGTGTGCCTGTTTGATTCATTACAATTTTTGTTTTCTTTCCCTAAATCCATTTTGCGCTATCCTTACACTAGCTTTGTTTTTTTTTATCTTTTCATCTGCGAAAACGGGTCACTATAAAAGGTGACCTGGCGTGCTCCCGTTCTGCATTTCCCTGCTGGTCATTGTTTTTCCTCGCCGTCTCTTGGACAAGCTGTGCCCATTTCGTTGCGCCTTGTACAATACAATACAATGGAGCTATTTTGATTCTCCGTTAATCACTTTTCTTTCCTTCCTTCAGAGAGTAAGGAATCCCCATCAGCTGCAGTCGATGGGGAGGCAAAGCCAGCGGCGCCTTCCTCCTCCCCTCCTGCCCATTGTGCCCCTCCATCCCTGGAGCCCCAGCCCAGCAACAGTGGCCCAACAGTGGACACGGCTCAGCTGAGCAGCAGCCACCCTTTAAAGGAGAGTAGCCCACCAAGTGAAGGTACGCGGCGCTTTCTTCGAGGGCACGGCAGCCTTTGTGAACGCTCTTCTCAGCTCATCGAAGCCGAGAGCAGTCAAGAGTGGCTCCTGTTGACATTTTGGTTTGATATCCAATATGTTTATCTGCAGCGATTGAGTATCTTGTTTACTGAAACAGCTGCTCTCACTTGGTCACGTGGCTGCACCGCCCCAGACGGCTGACGTGTTCACCTTGACCTAAAATTGAGAGGGGGGAAAAAATCCGAGGCCTATTGCTTTTATTTGTGTGTCAAATGTGACTCTGGTTGTAGGATCCAAGAGCCAGGTGAGCCCGAATACTGCCGCCCCCTCAGTGCTGCCTCCACCACCGCCATCTTCTGCTGCTCCACTCCTCCCTACGTCCGGGGTAGGAGACACTGAGGACGACGAGGGCATGAAACACCTGCAACAGGTATGGATCGTTCCTCCTTGTATGCAGTCAAACGGCAATCTGAGAGCTTAATTTGCAAATGGGGTCTTTTGCTATTTTTATTATGATTTTTTTTTCCATGGGTTTGATCAAAAAGGATAGATACAACTGAAAACACATTTCATTATGAAAGGAGAGGGCAAAAGCAAAAAGCAAAAAAAAACATGACGGGGTTCATGCAGTCCTGAACACGAAACGGGTGAGTTGTGTGGGCACTATGACATCACTTTCAGTCAACAGCAGAGGGCACTATAGGACAAAATGGCGGCGCATTGAAATTGATGAAAATGGCTTTTTCTTCTCATTGCATGAATGTAATAATAATCAGAATATCGTGTTGAGACTAGAAAATAGTTTCATGCTTTTGCTAAATTAGCTTTTTTTTTTTTTTTTTTTTTTTTTTGAGGCACTATGACATCACTTTCAGTCAACAGCAGAGGGCACTATAGGACAAAATGGCGGCGCATTGAAATTGATGAAAATGGCTTTTTCTTCTCATTGCATGAATGTAATAATAATCAGAATATCGTGTTGAGACTAGAAAATAGTTTCATGCTTTTGCTAAATTAGCTTTTTTTTTTTTTTTTTTTAATTTTTAGTTGAAATCGTACAGAAAATGTTCATTTTTGTTTTCCTTTAACATATAAAATTGTAACAAATCAACTGTAATATTAATTGAACAATTGTGGACTAAGAGGGGAATGGGTCAGGAGAGCCGATTATTCGTTCACTTGTTTTGTAGCCTAAAAACAACAGTATAGTCCAAAATTATTGTGAATACATATAAAGAAAGCTTGAAGCAGTTTAAAATGTTTTAAGCTTACTCACGTCGCTGGTGTTCATTGGGGGTGCGCCTTACACTCCGAAGCACCTTATAGTGCAGAAAATATGGTAATTTGTTCAAAGAGAAACTGACAGAAAGTTGTGTGAGCTTTAGGGTTGATCACATTAACTTCCAATCAGCCAAGACCATGGAGTGTTAATTTATTCGGTAGTCTGAACTGTGCTGTTTTCTTGCCAGTGGTGTTTCAGTGGGCAGTGTGTCGCAGCTGGGCATTACCCAGACAGTGTCAACGGGGCCTGGGGTACGTGGAGTGAGTGGTCGCCCTGTTCAAGATCATGTGGGGCAGGAGTTGAGAGTGCACAGCGGGACTGTGATGACCCAGTGTAAGTTTTTTTTTTTTAAACTACTTTTTACTGAAGTGTATATACTCACATAAGTCATTTGGTACACTGCACATTGTAATTAGATCCAATGCAAGAGTAATGCTTTGAAAGGGGACGTCAACCCCAAAATCTTCTTGACAAGAATATGTTCTATACAGCACCACTTGTCTAAATATGCCAATCTGATTCATAATCTGTTAACAACCATTTACGGCTCACCCATTTTCTAAAGCTGAGCCATGATTGGTCGTTACTTGAACCCTGAGTAACTGTGATGTCATTTTCAGTCGACAGCAAGTAACAAAATGGCCGCGCACTGATTTGGCCAAAAATGGGTGGATTTTACTGCTTAACTCATCTTCCACAAACGCACTAGCAATTAAAATTCAGTGTTTAGACAAGTAAAGACGCATATAACAAATTGTAAAGAGAATATTTTGGTTGACTTCCATGTAAAACAAACAAAAAAAATTACTTTTCGATTCAGTGCACTAAAGATGTTTCACCTCTTTTCAAAAAGTTTATAGTGGTCCTTCTTCTCCTGGCGGATTCAACAAGACCCTTGCTGATTTCTGTCTGTTCTTACTAACAGTGGGTAACCTCACTGGGCCTTTGTTCAATTCACCAGGAGAAGAAGGGTCACAACACCTGAGCTTGAAGATAGAAATGTGAGGCTGAATGTGGTCATCCTGTACGTGGCTAGTTTGTCTAAGAAACTCCAAAAGATGTTTTTTTCTTCATACAAAACCTGGTTCACACCAAGGCCAGAAACCCTGAGATGCAAACTCAGCAAAGTGGTTCATGCAGTGCAGTATGGTGAGGAGTCCGATGGCCTCTTTTTTTTTTTTGGTCTGTGTCTAGGAGGCGGAAAAGATGGTGGCATCGTTGCAGGATACATCTTTAGAAGAGGAGTGTTTCACACAAGCTCTGCAGCAGCAGCAGCAGGAGAGCAGGAACACCGCAGCCGCTCTGCCTCTGTCGCACGAGGCCGCCATGAAGTGGTTCTACAAGGACCCACAGGGAGAGATTCAGGGTAATTCCTCTCGACGTGGATTTGCGCAGCGTTTTATTTGGTCGTGGGTGACAACGAGAACCGAAAGAATCCGGCTCTCTGCCCAGGTCCATTCACTACTGTGGAGATGTGCGAGTGGTTCCAAGCAGGCTACTTCACCATGACCCTTTTGGTCAAGCGGGGCTGCGACGAGGGCTTCCAACCCCTGGGCGACGTCATCAAGATGTGGGGCCGCGTCCCCTTCGCCCCGGGGCCCTCCCCGCCGCCCCTGCTGGTGAGACAGCCACCACCGACGCAGCGCCCGCAGCCCACCAGGGGGCCCGCCGGGACTGTGAGTCAGAGCTCAGCCAACATAGACGATGGGAAGGGGTGGATGCACAAGGGAGGGAAGATGGATAGACAGGCCACGGTAATAGATTTTCATCTTCTCAGGATTAACGGACGCCCGTGCATGCAGAAAAGACACTTTTGATCCGTGTTTGTAGTTAGAGATGCTGGCTTTCTTGTTTGCCGAGGCGTGCCGCTGACGAACTGTCCTCTTGTCAACCACCCCCCTCAGGGAAACCTGGACCAGGAGCGTCTGAAAAAACAGCAGGAGCTGGCGGCGGCAGCTCTTTATCAGCAGCTCCAACAGCAGCAGTTATTCCAGCTCATTAACAGGTGAGTGCCGACAGCCCTCTGCGAGCGTGAGCTCGGAAGACAAAAACTGCGGAGGGCCTTTGGCGCGTCAGCCCGCGTCATCAGTCGGTCTTTGCTCTGCACAACGCAGGTGCAGTGAGCAGGGTATGATGCCTTCGATGAACAGGTCAATGTCAGTGCCAGATACAGGGTCCATGTGGGACATGTATACCTCAGCTTCACAGCCGTCAGGTGCGCTGTTTTCGACGAGTGGGGGATGTGAGCAAAGCATACACATAAATGGCAGTGGTGCCATGCTTAAAATGCCCTTTTTGCGCGTACCATAGGTGGTGAAGCCAGTCTTTGGGACATAATGAATCGTTCTACTCAGGGTCCAACTCTGGAACAGCTTCAAAAGGTTTGATGTTTGCTGTTCAAACGATTGCTTCACTGCTCGCCGAGTTTTTTTTTTTTTTTTTTGTCTCTCTCTCTCTCCCTCTCTCTCTCTCTCTCTCGAGTTAATGTTGCGGTTGTAACGTACTCCATCCAGCTCCAGCAGGAAAGGCGAGACGCTGAACTCAGGGCGAAGCGGGAGGAAGAGGAGCAGCAACGCAAGAGGAGGGAGGAGAAGAGGAGGCAACAGGAGGAGCAAAAGAGAAGGGAGGATGAAGAGCTCTTCAGACGCAAGCAGGTGAAGTGTTTTTTTTTTTCCCCCCATTTCTCCCTCAATCCGTTTTGCCCCGGCTGACGGCCGTAACGAGCTTCGGTGTCGTCGGCAGCAGGAGCTGATTTTGAAGTTGCTGCAGCAGGCCCCACAGCAGCAGGGGCCAGTGGCAGGCAGCGTCAGCTGGAGCGGGGCATCTTCCTCTGGGCTCTCGAAAACGGGGAAGCCCCTCTCTTTGCTGGAGATGCAGCAGGAGACGGAAAGACTCCTGAAGCAGCAGCAGCATCAGCAGCAGAGAGCCCAGCAATAGAGGGAGCGGGTAGGCCTCGCTATTAACCATTATACATTTCTTGTATTTTGCCTGCATCAGGGTTGTAGTAGGTTGGGATTTTCTCATTTTTATTTTGGTTTGACGATAGTTGCTTAAGTTTAGTTAGTTTTGATGAGTTTTAATACTGGTTTAATTTGTTTTGATCAGTTTTTTAATTTTGGGGGGAGCGAGAGAGCGATAAAAACCCAATTCCAATGAGGTTGGGAAGTTGCGTTCAACCATTTTACCAAATTATCCAGATAATAACATGAAGAATAAAAACAGAAATAAAATAGGGGTTTGGGTGGGGGGGGCGAAATCCAGTGGCCAAAAAAAGCACAACTGCGTGTGAAATGTTAATGCTCTTTTTGTTTCCGATTTGCAGCACTCGGGCATGTCAATGGGGAGTTCCTCTATTGGAGGCCAGTGGGGGGACGGCGTTGGCATCTGGGGTGGGCCTGGAGGCATGGAGGGCAAAAGTGGCAGCATCGGCATGTGGGAAGAGGCTGTGAAGAACCAGGCCAGCCTGCGCGGTAACAGCAACAGTAGCTTGGGCTTAAAGAACAGTCGCAGCAGCCCTTCACTCAGGTCTGTATGTTGCCCTTGTGGTGCTTTCATTTCCGTACCGTTCCGCTTGCATCGCGTTGGCTCCAGCCCTTGCGTGTGTGTGTGTGTGTGGGGCCCCTCCAGTGAGCAGTACATGATGCGTCGTAAGCGCACAGATGATGAGGAGAATCTGCTGAAGCTGTTGCAGGGCATGAAGCCTCAGGACGGCTTCACCACCTGGTGTGAGCAGATGCTGCACACCCTCAACACTTCTGCCAGCAACTCCTCTTCTCTGGATGGTAACTTTGCTGCCGTCACTATTTGGACAGAGGAAGAGGGCAATGTGATTGCGACGCTTTGGTCCTTGTGTCACAGTTGCTACGATTGTGGCCTACCTGAAGGGGGTGGAGTCTCCCTTGGCAGTGTTGGACTTCATCCAGTCCTACCTGGGGGACACAGTGGAAGCCAAAGAGTTCACCAAACAGTTTCTGGAGCGACGTGCCAAACAGAAGGGCAACCAACTGAGACAGCAGCAGCAGGTAAACTGCAGCTGAGATGACATAAGACAAATTTGACTTTGCTGTCTTGGTCCCACACGTGAAATGCTTTTTGTTCTGAATGGTCTCAGCTGTCAAAGGAAGTGGCTGGCCTGAACATGAACTTCCCTCTGCAGGTAAATACGAATGCTGAAAGCGAGTTGCAAGCCGTCGCGTGGCTCACACTGCACTATTTTGCTTTTATTGACGTCTTTTTCACAGGACACGATGCGAGGTATGAACGCTAGCGCCCTGCAGTCAATGTTCCAGGCCAATCACATGGGCAAGGCTGGTCTCTATGACAACCAAGGAGGGAAGATGAAAAAAAAACAGCCCATGATGCTGCACTCGGATCCCAGCATCTTAGGTATGTCATCTCACAAACTCCCCTGCATATTTATAGCTGTGGTTCTCGTTGGCCACGCCTTACCAACTTTTATTTATAGAGCACTTGAAAACAATCACGGCTGAATACTAAAGTAATGTACATAAAGTTAAAATCAGGCATATCAAAACAAAGACAATCAATGAATAACATAAAAATAACTAAACATAAAAACAGTGAACACAATCAAACGCTAAAGCAACGCGGATTTTCATGCTGAGTCGAAAGTCAAAGAATATAAAAAAGATTGAATGACAAAAGAATCTCAAAATCAATTCTAAAATGTAAAGGGAGGCCACAATTGAAGTTATGTGTTCCCTCCTACGAGCTCCAGTTAGGAGGTTCGGAGGCGAGCAGCAGAATTTTGGACCAACTGGAGACACTTGAGGGAGGACTGGCTGACTCCAAAGTAAAGTCCATTTCAGTAATCTGGTCGAGATGAAAAGAAGTGCTTTTGTGAAAGGCGAGGTTTACCTTTAGCCAGCTGCCTAAGATAAAAAAAATAAAAAAAAACTGGGTTGAACAGCAGCATCAATTTTCTGGTCCAACTTAAAATCACTGTCCCAATTTAAAACCCAAATTCCAAAATGTTGCCTTTTAATGAAACTCAAGTTAACAGGGTGAGATGTACAAGGGCCTAAACAACACAACTTGTTTTCTTTTCATTGAAGTTGAACATGTTTAGTGCCATCTGGGCTTTGATATCCTCCAAACAGGGCAAAAATGACCTTAAGGAGAAAACCTCCTTTTTGCTTAGTGGGACATAGATCTGCCCGTCATCCACATAGCAGTGAAAGTTACTACCATGGTTTCTTAAGGTGGAACCCAGGAACCCAGGAGAAGCAAACACAATGAAACAGCAAGGGGCCCAAAATTGAACCCTGTGGAACTGTCTCTGATAGATGGTTCGCCCATGCGTGCATTGGTTTCTTTAAAAACAACCTTCTCCTCCTTTATTTTGAAAAATGTATATAGATTTGCAGGAAGTAAACGGATTGGCCACTTGGAGAAGTAATGTGGATGCCGGTACTTTGGTTCCATTAGCGTCTTCCATCGCCCACTAAACATTTTTTTGCACTTCATCGAATTAGCGTTATTGACGCGTCCTACTACTGACGCAACTCCTGCTTCCCTGTTCCTTCTCCTGCCTGCAGGCTACTCATTCCACAGTACGGCCGAGTGTCTGAGCCTGAATGAGATGGAGATGGTGGAGGATTACTGATGTGACGCAGCGCAGCAGCAATAGCTACCTGAGGCCTTTTTTGTCTTTTAATCAGACAAACCTGATGACGAATGTGCACTGCTAGGGGAACCCGGGGCGGGGGGAAGGGAGCAGGACTAAGAGGAGGTACGCGGTTTGGGGGAGGGGCGGGGCTTGTCTGCGCCACTCCTCTTGGGGTTGTGACAAAAAGGGGCTCCTTGCTGCACCAGTTGAGCAGGGGCAACGGGGGCGGGGTGGGGGCATGGGTTTCAAAGAAACATGGGTATCCTCTGGCACTCAACATTTTAAGCACCTTATACTGAACTAATGCACTTTATTGAGATGGGATTTGAATATTTCTTTTTCGTCTGTGTGTGATTTGTGACTGCGTGTGTGTGCGTGCGCGCTCAGAATCAGTGTGCACGCGGTATGTGTGCATCACAACTGGAAGTGTTAACACGGGCGGGGGTCTTGGTGGGTGGGGGCGGGTGTTGAGCGTTTCAAAGTCGGGGACCTTTAAGTTGAGAGCAAATCCTTTTTCTCGAAAGACAAACACTGTTGATATTTCTGTTTTGCATTTTTTTACGTTTATATGAAAAAAGTAAAGCTATTGAAAAGTGGATTATAAAAACTTGAAGATTTGCACTTGCCTAAAAAAAAAAAAATCCCAAAAAAAATGGGTTAGTGATAGAAGTGGATATTTTTGTGAATGTGTCTGAATGACTGATGTGTGATTGGTTCTTTGTCAGTAATATACCAGTGTGCACAATGTCTTTTTTTTTTTTAAGTTGCTTTCTATTAGTGTGAGAAAAGTGGCCATTCTTGAGTTGTTTTGGTCTAATGTTTATTTTGTACTTTGATGTTTGTGTGTGTGAGTGAGCATTGAGTAAGAGAGAGGGCAATTGCACAACACATCCTTTCTCTTAGCAGCTCCGTCTCTCTCTCTCTCTCTCTCTCTCTCTCCCTCCGCTTTCGTGATAAACTCTGTCGCGTTTGAATGACTGGGGGAAATCACCGGAGAAGATGATCGCGGGCTTGTGCGTGCGAGTGAGATTGTTCATTTGCTGTTGAAAGAAATGAGTCGAGACGACAGGTACTCATTTTCAATAATGTGCTTTTGTGTGTGTGTGTGTGCGTGCGCGTGCGTGTGTGTGTGTGTGTGTGTGTGTGTGTGTGTGTGTGTGTGTGTGTGTGTGTGTGTGTGTGTGTGTGTGTGTGTGTGTGTGTGTGTGTGTGAATGCACAGACCCTTGTTGACCTGTCTACGCGAGTGGACAAATGTTGACATAACGCTTGGACACAACATATGTTAACATGTACATGTGACTGGAAAGTGGAATGTTTCTTTTTTCCTTGTGGGTGTGATTGCAGAGACTCACGTTTTGCACTTTGGGAATGGAGGGACGGAGGGCTTTGAAATTGGGTGTGAATGGACTGATGAGTAAGATTATTTGTATTCAGTAAGTGAATGGGCAGGCTGATGTTTTTCATGTGGTGTGGGCGAATGTGCAAATGGTAATAATAACAATTCAATTCAATCAATGCGCAAGCACTGATACCAGGTACCGGTATCGGGTCAGTACCAGCCTTATTTCTAGGACAGGTCATATGACCCAATATCAACTAATAAGTAGTATAGTAAACCCCGCCCTCAATCACAGGTTCCAGGTCTCACTATTTGGCAGATTTTTTTTTTTTTGTTGTAATTATCATATTTTCATCTATCGCTCGTCAATGTTGGATGTATTCCCACTGTTCACCACTAGATAGCAGCACAGTTATTCAGAGATGGTGTAAATTTGAAAGGACAAGAAAAAAAATAAATTCACCACAGCCTAATTTGGGTTGAAAATGATTGAACGGTGCGCGTGCGTGTGTGTGTGTGTGTGTGTGTGTGTGTGTGTGTGTGTGTGTGTGTGTGTGTGAATGCACATTTGTGCCTAAGAACTTGGATCGGGTGCATGGCCATTGAGACATTAGCTCTTTTTCAGAGTGAGTGTGACGTGTGTCAGTGCTCAGCACAGTGTATGTCAAGTGTGTGTGTGTGTTTTTATATATATATGAATATATATAAATATATCGTTGGTGTTTCTGGTTCGGTCTGGGGGTGATCCATTGGTGGGGTGCGATCACGTTGCCTTTTGTTAGCTCGAACTTGTGAATGAAAGGTTGAGGAAAAAAAAAAAAATTGCAGCATCCTAACGGTGCATGTAAGGTTAGCATTGTTACTTGTTCGTTGTTGCAATTTGATAATGATGAGTTTTCCTTTTTTTATGAGAAATATATACAAATATATACATTATATACAAAGTTTAAAAAGTATTTGGACTAAGATAATGAGCACTTGGGGCTGCTATTTTTGTTGTGATACTTTTTGTTTTGTTTTTGTTTCATTCTCGCCATGTGAAGTGTATTTCTTTCTTAAGAAAATATTGAATGTATTCCAAAAAATGACAAGAAACCCGTGCTGATATATTTTTTTTTCCTCAGAAGATTTCAAAAATGGAAACAAAATACAAGAAAGCTTCATAGAGGAATTTTTTTTTCTAAGTACACAGTGGAGGAGAGGAAAAAAAAGAACTGTGGATAGATACTGTTGAACACACTGCCTCTACAATCCTGATCGTACAAATGGTGACTAAGAATTAAAAGAAAGGACTATTTCTATTCCATACTGGAGCTTTGGTTGTTTACAAAACCACATGGATATCAGTGGGCGCGTCCCCCTCAGCGTCTTTTTGTTTTTGTTTCCCATGTTCAATGGGCAGAGTTTGCAAGTGCGCTTCTGCCATTGTGGACACTGAGTGATGTTCTTGAGGCAAGATGGACAATGTTGCTGCCTAACTGGAGCTTTTTGGGACTGCGGTGCGGAGTGAGGATATCCCAAGGATTGGGCTCCATTGTCTTGTTTTGTTTTTGTTTTTGTTTTGTTTTTTTTCTCTCCTGGTGCGTGGAACGGAGTGCAGGGCGACGCCAGTCGGAAAAGGAACTGAGAGGCAATACGAGTCCCGGGCTCAGTCCTCGCCAGCACTCACCCTGCCCTAACCAACTCACCTATGCACTTTTGTTTGAATTCAAGCTGTGAGGTACCATTTTTTGGGGACGGGAGCACAACGGGAGGATGGTGGCGTCACTGAAAAGAAATTTCCGAAAATGAACTGAGAGACTGGAGCCTCCTGTACATAACCATATTTTTCTATCACCTTTCAGAGTAGACTACAAGACGGCTTGCGGACAGATGAAGGAAAACTCATGACGCGCCATTTATGTCAGTGACTTTTTTTTAAGAAAAACTTTTTTTTAAATTTTTTTTTTTAAACCTTCCCCCCTGGAGTTAGATAGCTTCAGCAGGACTCTTCGCAAATGGATGTTGCCGTGGCTACGAGATTGCTTTGACACAACCATACAAGGTCCAAACCTTTGGCACTGGTAAGACCGATGAAGCCCGACGACCGTGTTGCTTTTTGCTCAATGTACTCATGTCCCATTCTTGTCTTCTTGCAAGTAGTTTGCCTGTGTGCCACTTTGCCTGCAATCGTCAGTCAATCAGATTAGACCCGACCCAGCGAACTCTAGCCTTTTGCAGCTTCCTGGAAAAAACCGGGCTGACGTGAGGACAACGGATTCAGTCTGTGAGCCATGACCATCATCACCCACCTCGGACGGGCTGCTCCGAAGTGGGTCCTAACCTACCAGCAGGCCCTGTTTGGATGGCAAGGACAAAAGGCCCGTTTGGCTTCGAGTGGATAACGAACCGCCACGAAGCTCTGCAGCCGTGAATTAGGCTGGACTGAAAACTTGTACAAAAAGAAAAAAAAAAAAAAAAACAAACGAAAAAAAAAAGACTTTTGACACAAGTTAACTTTGCTCCATGTCACATAGATTCTCCAGTCACACGCACACACCAGTTCAATTTGGGGCTTTGTAAATACTGTACATTTGTATGTTGGTGGTTTTGAGTCTCCCCCCCCCCTCCCCCCCCCCCCCCCACATCTTCTAATTTTCCAGTTCAACATGCCTTAAAACTGTACAGTCGAATCCGGAACGGCTTCACTGACCAGAGAATTTTGAGTCGGACACAACTGCATAACAACCTGCGCTATGTACCGGCCTTTCTGGTTATATCAAGAACAGAGCAGCAAGCTTTTCTTGACTATGTATGTATATATTTTTGGAACTGGTGGTTGGCTTCCCCCCGTTGTTTTTTTTTTTCCATTGGAAAAATAGTGTTTAGATGCGTGGCTGGGGCACTGCAGACTGACTAAAAGTGTCTGGTGGTATTTGGAGCTGAGCTGAAAGGACAGAAGTTAAATCTGATTTGTTGCTGCGTGACCAAATATCAATAAGCAAGATGTAAACCTTGAAGCCAAATTAAACCAGATCATCGTTCAATTTAGAGTTTGCAGGTTTATACTTTTACTGAAGTTGTACATTTCTAGATGCTTGCTGTATGTATCCTGTTTTTGATGCATGACCGTATCATCAGATTTCATAGATTGATGCTACCGTTTCCAGTGATTACAGATTTACTTTCAATTAAGAGCGATGCACGTTAGCTTTGACTTGTACTGGAGCAGATTCGTGTCATTTTGACTGAGCTAAAAGGTGTGAATTATAGACTAAAACCCATGTCAGTCTGTCAGAAAAAGACTTATTTTTAAGATGAAATTCAGCGATTCTTGTTGGTCTTTAGTAAATTGTTGCAGCTAGATTTGCTGCACTGCTGATTTTATGACAAGATAAACAGTTAAATTGTATTGTACGAGGCATACATGATCATCTGGTTGTGTTTGGCATTCTCAAACAAAACACTGACACTAACATTAAGTTGTATAACCCAATCAGCTCAGCTCCTTTTGTTTTTAGTCTAGCAGAGTTGAAGCGGAAGTCAAGTTCAAATTTTGTGGGGGACGATTTGTCCTATGTGCCTTCACGAGTCTGAACAAACGTTATTTTTTGTGAAATAAGACTAATCCACCCACACTCGTGATGCCGTGTTTAGACTACTCTAGACATCGGTGTTAATTTTTCATTTGTTAAATAAGAGTAATACATGATAACGTGTTCAGACTAGGCGGAGGGGGTAGAACATGATGGCAAAGAACATTTTCGACTTGGCAAAGGACATTTTCGACTTGACTTCACGCTTCAAAGGGCTTATGTTCTTTTGGTGGAAAAAAGAGCACCCGAAAGATATGTAAATAATTTGGATTGTTATGTTTGAAGAACAAAATAAATATTAGCAGTTAGCGACTGACCCTTGCGCAATTCATTTGCTCCCCAAATCACGCATACCAACGTAATCGCGCGAGACTTGCTGAACACATGGCTACACGCCATAAATGCCTCTTCCTGCTCAGAGAAAACAAAAACTCCGATATAGAACATCTCCAGATACCTCGTTCAAGTAGACGCCACACACGCTTCAATACACTCCGGTGGAACCTTCGCCTCAACCACGAAGGAGAATTTAAACTGAATTTAACGAGACTAGAGGCTGGGAAGAGCCACAAATCGGGTGAGTTGGAGAGTGATAGCATGCTAATGCTAACGTGACGTACACTATTATTTGCGCCAACGTTTGAAACAAATGGAAGCGAGACAGCTTTTTTTTTGCTAGACTGAGTACTCGTACAGCATGCTTGAGACTAAACGTGCTAGATTTTCCGGCAAATAACGTATGTATATGTATTAAGTAGAATGGAAAATAGCTTTGGAAAACTACTCAGACGCCCGGTTATTTACGTTATTGCTGTCGCATAATTAACGCGTAAACCTGGTTTTGTCTTCCGCAATAAATATTGAACAAATAAATTACACTACTTTTTTTTTTTTTTTTTTTTAAGGTATGTGCATATTTTTTAGCCGAGTATATTTTACATAGGGAGGTAAAGTAGCGAAAATTTGTACTCGGAGTACTGTTTTCTTTTAAATATAAGAATGAACTACAATGTTAAATGCAGTACCCCAAATAACTAATTTGGGTTAGAGTAAATAAGGACAGAATAATTGATGAGTAACTTTTTAATTTGTAAATCATGGCCATCGAATCGAAAAATACATATAAAATATGAACGTGCAACTTCCGTTTCCCGACAATATCATTTTTGCAAAAACATTTAAATTAAAATAACAAATTAAGCTAAATTAATTTCTGTACACAAATAAGACATCAACATTTAGCTCAACAGTGATGTCTAACACTGATTGTTTGTTGCTCCTTTCCCAAAACTTTACACGAATCAACATTACTGCAATGCAACAGAGAGTACGTAGCAAGTGCGATGTATGCTCAAAATAATGAAGTAAGAGTAGCATTCCCTCCTTATAAAAATATGTGCGTATGAATAATAAGGAAACTGCCCCGAGTACATTATTTTTACTAAAAAGTTACTCAGGTAGCTGTTACATGTTACTACCAACTCCTAATGTTACAAGAAATGACTTCCAACAAAACAGTTCAATTCCATCTGTGTTCTGATGAGTGTGTGTCCTCTTTGTTTGCAGGCCTGTGGGTGCTGTAATGTCCTCGTCTGCCAGCATATTTAGAAAGCCACCCTGCAGGAAGAAAGCAGACCACAGCTTTGCATTTTTGACAGCCCACCACCAGGGAGGAACTAAGTCATGACTGACGTGGGTATGAGCCCTGAAAATGCAGTGATAGAGGGGCAGGACATAGAGTGGGATCGTGAACCACCTCAAGAGGATGCAACCGTCCAGGAGGATTGGGATGAAGGAAGCCTCACTCCTGCCAAACGTCCCCGGCTTGGTGACGAGGGACAGGGGCTGCATGGGGATCTCCAGCCAGCACAAGCAGACATGGAGCAGGACGAGCAAAGTAGAGAATGTTTTCTTCTCATTGTTTTGACATCATAGCGATTCTGTCATATGTACATGGAATTTTGTTTTCTGGACTTAGCAACAGAAACCACCCTGCATGCTGAAGTCGGTGGAGAAGAAGATGAAGATGAAGAGGGGACGACTTTAGGTGGAGGCACCGAGGAGGAGGGGCATTGCCAGCAGAATGCCGATGGCTGCCATGATGGAGGGATGCAACCATTGGAGGAGAAGCCTAATGAATCTGCTGACAGTCCCAATGAAGGACAGCAGTAAGTTGAACCAACTTTTATATGGTATTGCATTAACATGACTCGCTTTGACTTTTTTATTTCCCCCCTTTCTTTCTTTTCATCCCAGAAACCTTGCCTTAGACTTTTCCCAGACCCCCCAGGTACTGACGAGCTCCTGGAACGAATACTCCAATTTCCCAGAGAATTACCTCAAAGGTTGCAAATGGTAATTAAAATTCACCAAGTTACAAATCAACATACTCTTTATGAAATTGTGTGTTGGATGAAATCAGAGTGACTTTTCCGTCTCTATCCCATCAGGGCTCCGGATGGTTCCTGTATCCTGAGCAACAGTGCAGACAATGTGCTCCGCGTCTACAACCTTCCTCCAGAGGTTTATACCTACAACTGGGATGTGCTGCCAGAGATGGTGAGCGTTACATAGGTTCTCAAAGTTTGTTCAAGTGGTACGCAGGCTCCCTCATGTGGTATGCTCCCAAAAAAAAAAAAATATATATATATCATTGCCGAAGTACAGTTGTATTATATTTTTACCTTTAAGTTCAATACATATGAATGACATCTGGAAGCGTTTGTTTTATACGTTTGATTAGGTATCTAGTTTTCATTTTTTCACAATGTTACCATCTTCCTCGGTTTTTCTGGACATTCTGGCCTAATTATAACGTTGGCCGCAATGGTGGTACTTGCAACAAAGTGTTTTGTAAGTGACACATTGTACTTTGTGCAAAATAAAAATAAATGACTGAATAAATAAGACGTGAGCGCAAAACCATGCACTCTCGCAAGCTCATTAGAATTCCTCTGGTGCCCCCATCAGGTCAGTGTTGATATTGCAACTTCAAGAAACCCTCATTTGTGTACATTGGGTGAACATTGTCATCTTTGTAAAGGCATAATTGATCATCCAGTTTGGTTTTAGCCATTTAAGTTTACACCGACATTCTTGTTGTTGTATTGCCAGAGTCCGGTGCTGAAAATGGCTGAGGGAGACACTGTGTATGACTACTGCTGGTACCCCAAAATGAACTCTCTGGAGCCTCACACCTGCTTGTGAGTACTCGCCCGGTTTAATCTCTGACCATCGTGGTGAAACTTAAGCGACATGTTTGTGTGCTTATTGCACCTTTTCTGATAGCTCTGCTCCAACAAGGATATCCTGGTTGGTTTTCATTAATGAAATCACTAAAACTAAAATTGAAAAAAAAATTCGTAATTAAATAAAAATGCAAAGTGCTTTCAGAAAAAATAAAAAATAAAACTAAAAGTAACTACATTTGTTATTTTTTATATATATATAAGATGAAAATTAAGAACATTTCCGCTATAGTGGAAATGTTCTTAATTTTCATCTATAATTATTAATTATAGCGGAAATGTTCTTAATTTTCATCTTTGTGGATTAATATCACACATGAGCTTTTTGGTTTCATTTCAAATATTTTTATTTTTGTTTAAAAAAAACAAAACTAATACTAAATACAGACATGCGCAATTAATTTTGCCCAGAAGGCCAATTGAGGAACTGGGTCACTTGGCAGGGGCCAAGCCAACATGTTAACCTCAACTTTGTTTGATATTATTTTTTATTAAAAAAAAAACAAAAACAAACCATCAGGTCTTGTTTAAATTGCATTGTATTGTTGTAATTGGGAAGTAAAACATTTAAACACAATAATAAATGGACACTAAAAAAAAAAAAATCTTCCCTCTACCGTGCAGGGAAAAAGGTAATTGCTAACATCAGGACCTCTGTTGTCATTTTTGCTAGTCTCTTCTTTGGAAGGTTCCAAAAAGTTGCGAAATATCCTGAACACGTTGCTATGTCAGCATCGCTGTAGTTGTAGCTCTTGGTCACTACCTTGTTTGTACGAGCATCCACACGTGGCCCCAAAAACCACAGCTGATAAATAGATTAGAGTTTACTTTGACTTCATGGTCACTTTGAGGGCCGGTCAGAGACTCGAGACAGGCGGGAGGTGACCCAACTTTGCCCAGGTCTGAAAACTAAAACGAAAACTCATTGGAATGTGGGAGGAAACTGGAGTACCCGGAGAAAACCCACTCAGACAAGAGGAGAACATGCAAACTCCACACAGGAAGGCCGGAGCTGGAATTGAACCCGGTACCTCTGCACTGTGAAGTCGATGCGCTAACCACTGGATTACCAGGCCGCCCCGAAAGAAAAACTAACGACCATAAAAATCCCAAACTATTCTATCCTTGGATCCTAATCAGCGGGGCTCGGGCCTCCCGTTATGATTGAACGTTTTGGCCATCGCTCCAGGCGAGCAGCAGTGGAGCGATGATAATTAGCCACTCCCCGGCGCTGAAACAAAGCGGCAATGCCGTCGCGGCTAATTAGCTTTGCGCTAATTAAGCGGCGGTGATGTTATTTTGGGCTTTGCATGATTACATTCAGGCATCAGTTCGACCTTCTGGAACACAATTTTATTTCCAGGCTGTCCAAAAATATTCTTTATTTGACTGATTATATAATCCACTGGAGTAAAATGTAGTGATTAGGGAACGAGTGAACGCAGCCAAAGTGTTTTCGTTCTCTCAGTTTTGCCAGCAGTAGCCGCGACAACCCGGTACACATCTGGGACGCCTTCTACGGGGAGGTGCGGTCCAGCTTCCGTCCTTACAACCACCTGGACGAGCTGACGGCGGCCCACTCGCTCTGCTTCTCCCCCGACGGCTCGCAGCTCTACTGCGGCTTTGACAAAACCGTCAGGGTCTTCTACACCGAGCGGCCCGGCAGAGACTGCGAGGAGCGGCCCACCACAGGTCAGCCGTAAACCGAAATGTGAGGTTGGTTATTAAAGGGGGCGGGGGAGTAAATTATGCGTAACCCTGGAGCTGAAAGAATGTTGTGGCTGTAGCAAATTGTCTTCACTCAAAACAACATCAGATAAACAACATTAGCTCGATGCAGTTTGCTGACTCTGTAAGAGAAGCGTTTGAAGAAAAACAAGCTTTTAAAAAAGGGGAACAGACGGCCCCGACAAGGATCGTTTAGCCCGCCGCTCGTCACGTCTCGAGTCTCGTCTCCTTGAGCGGGCCGAGAAGAACAACGCAACAAAATGCCGCGGCTGCATTCAAATGCTCTCTTATGCACTTCAAACAACCTTTCCGTTCATCTCTCCTCGAACGATGCGTAGCTCTTTTGTTTACTGGCCGTTTGTTTTTGATAATGGCGGCAGTTGCTAGCACTCTTCTTGACTGACGACTGTGCGTTTTGGCCAAAACACTCTATCGGCCCATTTATGTAACTCTGAAACAATAGTTAGCACAAATTGCATTGCAGTGGAAACTTTACAGTTTACCTTAGGGTAGGACTGAAAACTAACTGCATATAACTATTTTATATTGTTTTATTGATATATCGTGTTTTTTCTTTCTTTCTTTTTACATTGAAAATAAGGACCCTCAAAAAAACGGCTCAATTTAGGTCATTTTATTTTAGCATATGCTGTTACAGAGATTAGCGCCGAGTCATGTTCTGGAAATTAATGAGGGAGGGAGAGGGAGAGAGAGTCAATTCTAATGAAATTCGGACGTTGATACAAAAAAAAAAAAAGTGTGAGGGGAAAAAATGTGTGTGACAAAAAGCACGAGAGTAAGCGTGAGAGAGAATGTGAGCTTTTGGTCTATTATGAGTGCCTGAGAGGGAATGTGTGCGCGCTATAGATGAGGCGAATGTCCCTTTCCCAAAACGTTCCCTTTTGGTCTCCCAACCGCAGCGAAGAAGCAAAACGGCCAGAGCGGCATCATCTCCTGCTTGGCCTTCAGCCCGTGCCAGTCGCTGTATGCCTGCGGCTCGTACTCGCGCTGCGCCGGCCTCTACTCGTGCCAGGACGGCACCCTGCTGGCACTGCTGCCCACCCGCCACCGCGGGGGCCTCACCCACCTGCTCTTCTCACCCGACGGCAACTACCTGTACACGGGGGGCCGCAAGGTGGGTGAATTGAAATAATATTGCTCCAAACGCCAACAGGGGTCACCAACATGGTCGCCCTCGAGGACCACGTGAGTAAGCCCGTGCGCCCGTTTGGGGAAAAAAAAATATCTCACCAGTAATGGGACATTGTGATTTTTCTAGGAATGTTATAGAAGCGATCATGTCAGAGATTTTTTTTATTTTTTATTAAATGTCGATTACTGCGATTTATCTGTTTCCTAACTGTAAAAAAATAATTGTCATCAGTGTCATCACATGAATGATTATCATTCATTTTTAACAAAAACAATATGTTATTCATTGGGGAAAACCGAGCAGATTTTCGCACAGTAAATCACGTGTGATGTATGCGCAGGATCCCGAGATCCTGTGCTGGGACCTTCGAGAGCCCGGTCAGGTCGTGTTCTCGCTCAAAAGGAACGTGGCGACCAATCAGCGCATCTACTTCGACCTGGACCCGTAAGTGGACATCTGTCCGCCGTCGCTCTCCGCCCGGCAAAAGTCCCTCCTATGTGCGTTTGTGCTCTGCCAGGTCGGGCAGGTACCTGCTGAGTGGGGGCACAGAGGGAGAGGTGTCAGTGTGGGACACCCAGACCCCCCCAGGTGGTGAGGAGCTACTGCAGCCTCAGCTCAGGTTCCAGGCCCATTGGGACTGCACCAATGGGATCAGGTACCGGCTCACTGGCACGGGGTGGCCAAAAATCGTGGGCATGTTTTAAAGCAGACAGAAGGGGAAACAGCATTCGGAGGAAAAAAGTTCCACCCCGAATCAAGATGGCTTTTTCTCGAAAATGTGCAATTGTATTTTTGTAACATTACAACTCAAAAATAGCCTTTTTTTAATGATGCAAATAAATTTCTAATATAACAACTTCGGAATCTGAACATTTTAGTACCTTTAGTGCAACGTTATTCTTTAAAATTATGACTTTAATCAAGAATTATTGTCTCAAAAATATGGAAAGAACTTTTTTCGTGAAAAATCTGCAACTTTATTCTTGGAGAATTACAATGGTACATTTTCCTCGAAATTATGCATTCTAAAATTACAAATTGAATCTCAAAAGATTTTTTTTCCCCAAAAATATGCAGCTTTGTTCTTGTAAAATTATGAATTTGTTCAAAAAAAATTTTTTAAATTGTTTGAAAAAATGCCACTTCATTTTTGTAGTATTGCGGCGGTAATCTTAACTCCTTTTTTTTTTTTCCTTTTAAAAATGTGACGTTATCAAAGCAAATGGCGTTTTTTGTGATTTACTAAGTCAGAACGGTGAGGCTCACATTAACCTCTGTTCTTCAAATAAATATTTATATTTTTCAAATATTTGTGTTAAAAAAATATTACTTTATTTGAACAGTAAACAATTCATTCTTATTTTTTTATTGAGTTAAAGTTAACCAATTATTTTACAAAGTGAAAGAAAATCTACCTGCACACGCCAGCTTGTATACAATTTCCAATTTTTGTTTTGTTTTGTCCCCCCCAAGAAATCGACTCCGCAATTCTCGAGTTCATTTTCAAATTATTCCACCAAATGAAGTTATTGATTATGATTTTGTGCGCGCAGCATTCATCCGTTCATGCCGCTGGTGGCCACATCAAGTGGCCAGCGGCAGTTCCTGTGGCCCAGCGACGGCGAGGGCGACTCGTCCTCCTCGTGCTCTGACACTGAGGGAGGCGACCCGGCCGCCAACCGCGCCGACAACGGGCTGAGCATATGGTGGGCCGGACCGTGCGGACCCCCCGCTGAGGAGCAGAGTGAGGAGGTTTCAAACATGCACAGTTGAACTTCAATTTCACGAGGCGAGACTGTGCCCATTACAAAACTTTTTTTTTTTTTTAACAGCAAGGACGCAAATTAAGACATTTGTGCGAGAAGCGTTCTATTTTTGTGATTTGGACTTTTTTTTTTTGGTGTGTGGTGCTACAAGTGTGCATCTGATCATGCGCTTTGCTTTTTTAAACTGCTGCTTGTACATATGCAACACATTTTTCAAACAAATACAATCTGAATACCCTGACAAATTGTCGTCCACAGGCTGTCAAGAGCACACTGAAGCACCAGGGGGCGCTCCAACCCCTTCAAAGTTGGAACATTTTCAGCCACTTGCAGGGCGGTTGCGCAAATCACTAGATTTACCCAACTGACTAAATGATTTCCAATACTTTTCCGTGTGGACCAATCGGCAAAATGCAGACAAATAAATAAAGAAAAACATAAATTGGTTCACATCTACAAAGTAATATTTAAACCTACCCTGGCAAGAAAAATAGTAGCATATTTCTGAGGGTTGTATTTTTCCTCTCAGAAATGGGATTTTGTTTTTCTTGTACTACAACATAAATCTCAAATACACAATTTTTAGTCATAAAAATATGCAACTGTAAGGTACAAATTAAATCTCAAATATACTTTTTTTGCATTAAAATATGACTATAATCTCAAAATTATAAATCATGACAAATCCATCACTATTCTTGTAATACAGGTAGAACTTTCATTTTGACATGTTACGTTTTTCTCAAATATCTGACTTTATTGTTCTTGTATTGTGACTCGGCTCTCAAAAATGAAACTTCAACACGACTATTGCGATACTGCGAGCAAACCTGCCGTTTGCTCTCCCCTGAGCTCGAAAGCAAGTCAAGAACATCACTTCAACGAACTCTGTGCGGTCCGTATCCGAGACGTCTGTCGACCTTTGCTTTGGAAATGTTAACCCACCACTCGATGGTTTCACCTTTTGCCCGGCACGTGATTAGTCGAGGCCCTCCGAATGGGGAGTGGGGCTTGGAGTTGGAGCTGTGTGTATGTGTGTGTGTGTGTGTGTGGGGGGGGGGGGGTAACTGTGCTGCGCTGCTCTGCGGTGGCTGTTGCTTAGCAACCGTCACCGCCTCAGGGGAGGATAGTCGGTACGAAGACAACAAGGGAGGACAAGAAAAATGAACTGAGGCGCCATCAAGGATGAATTCCTAGTTGGCAAGGTGGCGCACTGGCTGGCCGCAAAATTAGGCACACCTACCCAACCATTTGGTAGCGGCTCATGTTAAAAAAAATATATATATATTCGAATTGCCCTCCGGAAATATGAAATGGAAACTTTTGTCGGCAGCTTTTGTGTTGATTCTGTTGCGGGCGTGCGCGTGCATGCGCTTGTACGTGTTTGTGAGCTTCAGCTCACCCGCGCACGGGAACAGACTGATGCCGAAGGATAAAGACGTGCAGCTGAGATCTATCAGCTACGAGGCGGGCGAGGATGCTGTGCGCTGACACTGACTCATGCGCACGCACGCACACACGTTCGTGCATCAAGCTCGGTGTGAGTTTCATTCCCATCATGTGTGTTTTCCCGTTTGAGCTCTTTGTGTTGCTGGATGCGTCTTGCCGTGGATGAGAGTCAGCAGGAGGCGTTTCCGGTGTTGTTTGCGTATCGGGTACAAGGCCCCGAAGCCACGGTCACCAGGGAGGCGATGGAGTCATGGAGGAGAGTTGAAGGTCGGAGCACGAATGGAGGCCAACAGGCAGAAATGCGGCGAACGTGAGCTGATAAAAACAAACAAAAAAAAAACCCAGAGGGTCAGTGTGGATTCATTTCAACTTTAATGATGCAATCAAAATGTATGACACCAAAAGTCGAATTAAAAAAACCTTTGCACCTCTTGTCTAAGGGCCTGTCGTCTAACGTGGGACAAAAAGTGCGGCAGTACTCCATTTGTCCGCATGGTGACAGTATAATCCCCATTTTGAGAGACATTGCAACTCTAACCTCGACGGGTTCATTCTAGTGAAATGGCGACCTCGCAGGCCCCCCAAAATCACCAAACCTCTTTTGTTTTGTGTTTTATCAAGAGTGTGCATCGCCCTCGTCTTCTGGCTCGTAGCTTATTTGCATGTTTCGCTTCTTAAACAACACGCCAGGATTAGTTAACCTCACGTTTCTTTTAATTCACTTTTCTGGGAGAAAAAAAAACATTGGAGTGTCTTTTTATGATGTGTAGTTGAGGGGCGCTCTTGCTCTTCCGTCGAAGATAAATGCTTCTTGGGTGTTTCTTTTTTTCACCAAAATAAAGCGCATCCGAGCCCAGGTCCGAATCAGGAGGTGTTGCGAGCAAGCCGTAAAGGTACTTTACGACACCCGCCCTTGTTTTTTTCCCCTAATGTATTATGTTCTGTCGGTGCGTCCTGCCTCGCAGTCTTCGAACGGGGATATTACAAAGCTTTCTTCGTCTCCACCCACCTCCCTCCTCCCTTCTCGGTTCTGGTGTTCCGGCCACGGTCCTGGCAGTTCTGCCAGTACGCGGTGAACCTCCGTGCAGGTCGGATCAGTGACGGGATTGTGACGTTGTCGTGTTGTTGGTCGGAGCGGATCTCACGCACACATTTTTTTTTTGGACCCAGGCTCGTTTCTTTATCTTTTTCCCCCACAAATTAAAGCACTCGGCAAGTTTTCTTTCAAGCAAAGCGTGGATGCTTCCCCCCCCCAAACTCTTGAAATAGACGCTTTTACCTTGCCACACACATTTGGATTTCTTTTTTCCCCCTCCGTACCTCTTTGAATTCTCAAATTGAGAATTGAAGCATTGGTGGATTTACAAACCGTCTGCAAGGATTGTGATGTGCACCGACTGGACTTGAGAAACGTTTATGAGCGTCAAGATGAGGAGTCCGGTGGCATATTTTTAGCCTATAAAGCGGCTTGCGTTTTTTTTTTTTTTTTGACCCCCCGCAAAAAAACGTCCCGAATGTGTATTTTAGTTCTATCGTGTGTTGCATGAGGCGTCGGGGAAAGGTAATGGGAGAGGGTGCACACACAACAAGGGAGCGTTGTTCGAAACTGAGACAATTAAGGAACGAGAACGGAATCGCGGCTGGCTTGTGATTCATTTGACAACAGTGGATTCACTCGAGTTTGATTTGCGTCCTGGACCAAAGCCATTTTTATATATGTGTGCGCTAAGGGCACATTAGTGTGAAAGTCATGGGGTTGGTGCAGAAATAGTCCAGAAAGTTTTGGTGTTTATTATTATAATATACTTTTAATATATCCATTTAATTCAACCCATCCTGGGCCCATGAGGTTCTGACTCGCCTCCAATTTGGGAAGTCTTTTTTTGGATTTTTTTTTTTTTTTTGCTTTTGACACCACCACTCGTGGACCGAATTTGGAGATGGCGTGTCCGTGGAGTGTGAATGGATTGTGGGTCCTGCTGGCGTTTGTACTGGATTTACTGGGAACCACGGCCAGCAACATGGAGCCCATCTATTGGAATTCTCTCAACGAGAGGTAAGGAAACAGACTGTGTTGAATTGGAGCGCCAACAATGATCCGTTAACGATTCGAGTGTCCATTTCAGGCTGAAATTGTTGTTCTTTCGCCTCACGTTTGCCACCCGTGGTGACAATAGGTGGAATCAAAAGTCCTTTCTGTCATGTCAGTGAGTCCAAAATGTCATGTTTAGGATCCTTTTAAAAGCCATCCACAGACGGAAGCTTTTGAGTGTCAGAAATAGATTGGCTGCTGAATTCCCGAGAGCTGTTTGGCTGCATTTACGGAGATGGCAAAGTCTCCACTTTGAAATTGAAATTCTTTTTGAATGCAACAAGTCACCAGCAGAAGTTTTTTAAAAAAAGCAACTTGTCACACACTTCTTGCCCTAAAAAGATTTTTTTTGTTGTTGTTTGCCTTCGAGACAGTCGAATGCACAGCAGCTGCTCACAACACCTGCACGGTCTCATGACATGAAGCACAATAGCTTTTGTGGGAGGTGTTTCTAATGATTTGACCCTCGGCGTCGGCTCTCAGTAAGGTGTCGGCCACAGCCGCACTTGTTTGACCGTTAACTGTCGCTCCCAGTTGAAGTAACCCGTCAAACAGCGAACAAAGAATTACATGTCGTGTTTTTAAAATGACCACGTACTTCACCTTCCAGTCAGCTAGCTTGATGCAAAAGCTAAACATCTATGTCGTGGCGTTACAACCCGTTAAGCAGTGGATTGAACAGCTTCTTGTCGGCAAACTATATAACATACATTCGCTCATACATTCTTTATCCTCTGCGAAGAATGACTACCAATAATGCCTTACTGATGAGCTGAAAGGAGTTCAGTGAACAAAATGTCTTTCTGTCTTATACTGCCCCCAGGTGGCCAAGGAAGAATTTGATTTTCATTCGTTTCAGTGGAAAAAAAGATTATTTAAGATTTTGATTCGACTCAAAGCACCACCGAACCTCTAAAAACTGAGCCGCATTCCCTTCTCTCGGGCACTTATTGGTCATGGGTCAAAGAAGAACCAAAATGTGGCAATTTGTTAGCAACACAAGTGCACTTCATGTCTATTTCTTCAGGAACAATGAACAAATCATAATGGTTGAATCTTTAAACATTGCCAGCGGTGCTCCAGACTGTATCACAAATTCACACTTGGACGCTCTCTCCAATTTTTTTTTTTTTGGGGGTGGGGGGGGGTGGGTGGGGGGGGGGGGGATGGCTACGGCCAGTCTGGCTCCTCCTCTCCCGTGCGGGATGCAACAGTGTACGGGAGTCTCCCCTCCCACTGTGGAGCCAGGCGTGAAGCCTCTAATGAGGGTTTTTGTTGTCAGCAGTGGGTGGATTCAGCCCACAGGGTTGGATGTGGATCCAAGCAGGGGGCGAGGGGCGGGGGGCGTCCTTTCTGCATTTCTGGCACAGCTAAATGCTAGCAGGCTTTTACGGCCTTTACAGGTGTCTCTGCGCCCTTATGGAGTTTAGTGTAAAGTGGCCCGGATGACAATTAGTGGGGGATGCGGGACTGTGACGCCGCGCTCTGAGTCATCTGCAACCGGGTTGCTCATATGTGCAAAGTACAAAGCCTGTTGTACGCCACTGTGTGCCTTCACAAAGCTTAGCATTCATACTTAATCAGCTTAGTCCGTCCTTCACTTTATTTCCTCTTTACACACATCCATGCACTTTCTGCCTTTCCCTTTTCCATGCTGTCGTGTGTTAGAGCTGGAGCGTTCAGGCAGATGTGCTTGCAGTGCTTATAACCGGTGATGGGAAGTACAAATATTTCATGACTAATCTAATGCTGTTTTTCAGGTACCGACAGTATTGATTTTCTGATGACTTTTGGATGCAGAGAGCTCTACTTTCTACTCATTCCTTGTCAAAATAGACTTGTTAGTTTTTTTTTAAACCTCTGCGGAGAAGGACACAATGTAGAAAACTTTTAAATAGAGAGAAGGAAAGTCAAAAATTACCAGTTGTCCGTTCACACTGTTAGCAAAACTGTCATTTTGCTAACAAAGCTAGCGTTTTAATAGCATAAGAGTTGAGCCAATGGCTGGCTCTAAAATTCACCAGATTCTGGAATCCAAAAATTGACTCTCTGATCTGAAAAATATTTTTCCTTTTGGTATTCGGTTTATGTTCACAAAGCTATCGTTTAACTAATGAAGCTAGCGCTTTGATCGCATGAAAGTTGAACCAAAGCTCTCTAGCCCTAAAAATGTCTACCCAATTTTTAAAAGAATCACACAAATCCGAATCTGATTTTTTTTCATTTGCTATCATTAGCTAGTTAATCAATTTTTGTTTGTCTTTGCATGTTACTGCCCGGCACTCTCGTGAGGATATACGGTTTTAGATGATGGATAGATGAATGGATGTTTGGCTTCCACATCAGCAAAAACCTCGTTTTGCTAACGAAACTAGCGCTTGGATAGCTTCAATTGTGCAAAGTCACACATTTTGCATTGTAAAGGAATCAAATATAATTTGATCTGTCTTTTTTTCATTTACACAAGTATCTGCACTTCTACTGAAGTATATAGAGAGAACTTTTGCCTCCTCTGTTTTTGAGCTTCGGACTTGTGAACTCGACGCGAGTTGACGCAGTTGCCCAAGTCCATCACGTGCGTCTCACGTCAGGTCTGTGTATATCAAATGGAGTGTCACGTTGTTAACCTTCAGACCTCTTGATGCGCCGCTTTGAAGCTCACTCACCCCCCCCCGCCCGCCCACCTTTCTTCCAGTCTTCTTTTATTGTTGAAAATGATTGCACAATTTGGATCACGCAGTATTCAATCAAAGGAATTTAGAAGAAGAACAAAACCAGTTAATTACTGAGAAGCTGTGTGAGAGGTTTTAGCCTTGTTGAGTGAATCAAGTTGTTCTGGACCTGTCAGAACTGGAACTCCCCCCTCGATAAATTTCACTGATGCTGATTTTCATATTTAGCATCTTTAAAATGTTGACAGTGCAGTAAAATGGCTTGATCGATTTAAGTGGATAAAACGGATACAGTAATTGCGGTAAAAAGCAAGAATGTGGACTTCACTGAATTTATTTCTGATATTTTGTACTGGTCCTATCGGGCTGGCATCCGTAAGGTGCCCGACACAGTGCCATATTGGCCACCGTTAATATCAAAACAACCACTCAGAAAGAAAACGCATGACTGATGACGTGTCAATCATTTTGCATCATAAATATGTTTTTTAAAACGTTTTTTGGGGGTTATTGTTGTTTTGGGGCCTAATAGTGACTATGATGGGATCATGCCAGGTAGCCATTGACTCAATCAGATGATTTTCCAGAATGTGCAGAAATAGATTGTTGAGATGACATCATGGCGGCCCAGTAGTCGAGTGGTTAGCGTGGACTTCACAATGCAGAGGCACCGGGTTCGATTCCGGCTCCGGCTTACCTGCGTGGGTTTTGTCCAGGTACTCCGGTTTCCTCCCACATTGCAAAAACATGCATGGCAGGCTGATTGAACGCTCAAAATTGTCAGTGTGAGTGTGGATGGTCATTAGTTTCTGTGTGCCCTGCGATTGGCTGGCAACCGGTTCAGGGTGTCCCCCGCCTACTGCCTGAAGACAGCTGGGATCGGCTCCAGCACCCCCCCCGTGACCCTTGTTAGAATAAAGCGGTTTAGAAAATGGATGGATGGATGGACAGACGGATGGAGATGACATCATGTTGTTCCTTTCTGTCGCCTCACTTTCTGAAACGGATGCTCGGGGAGCTATTTTTTTAAGGGGTGGTCTCTTCACGCGTGTTGTAATCCAACAACCCCCCTCCTCCAGACATTACGTTTAATCCCCCTCCCTCCTGCTTCCACGTCCTCAATAATTCATTAATCGCCTGCTAATTGGCACCGGATGAAAGACAAGCTAACTAGGCTAAGTGTTTCTACTACAAACAGCAATGGCAGGAAAAAAAAATGAAAGTGAGGAGATTTTACTGGAAATCTTGTCGCCCGGAGTGGCAAAAGTGTCATAAAAGGTCGCAAAAATAAAATGTAAACGCATGTGAAAGGAGGCATTAGGAACACAGCATGTCATTGGATGCATTAAAAAAAAAATCTGTTTTAAGAAGTCGTTCGGCATATTCCTAACAATACGTTGATATTTGTGGTTTCCGCGTTGCGTCATAAGGAGAGATGTCCCTAATATTTAGGCCTGACCTCAATCCAAACTGACTCTTTGTCTTGTTTTTGTATTGTTTGCAAGAGGATAGGTGTACCTAATGAAGTCAGTCGTCAGTCTGTGCGCAAATGATGTCTGAAGTGGGACCAGTAAAGCTCCACTGGCTCATGGCTTGACAGGACATCACTGTGACCCCCCCCCCCCCACACACACACACACACACGCACACACGCGCGCACACACACAGGGTTCACAGCTCACACCTAAGCAGGATCATCCAGTCCTCCTGGCCGAAGTTATTTGTGATTGTTTTTACTCATAAGAAAAAAAATAGCACTCGATAATAATATGCTTGACAAAAATGTAGAGTCTTAGCATAATTCAATAGAAGGTAAAGAAGTCCAACAGTTTGCGTATCATGATTTAATGCTGCAATCCAATTCATTGTGTTGCTCCTTCAGGTGTGCCCCCCACTGGCCACCGGGGGCAGCATAATAGTCATGCAGACACAAATGAAGAATGAGTAGCACTTCTTCTATTACTTGAGGTGACTCGGTTAAATGATGCGATATAAGTGGTGCGAGAGCGTGACTGAAATTCATGCCAAAAACTTACTGTTGCATTTTATGGAAGAAGAGTGCTGTACAAATCAACTTTGATTGAGCATAGAGGTCATTTTTTTGGAGGGGGGAGGATAAAGAATATATGCCTGTGAGTATTTATATTGTCTACTTGTGTCACGCCATTTTTGGTGGTCCAATATACATGGCTTCTAAAACTGCGACTATCGTTGATAATTGTTAGCATGTCAATGGCGTTTTCCACTGTTTGTTAGCATTAAGCTAAGAAGACTAAGGAAAATGCACAACTT